TCTCCCTCTTATTCTCCCTCTCTGTTCCTCAACTGGATTGACCATTCTATTTTATCGATCCTGCGGCCGCGAGATGTAACGCGCAACGTCCCCCGCCGGTCGTGATTCGGCGCTGACATTTTACAACGCGACATTGCGTTCATTCCACCGCTGCATCCACCAGCGCGCCGAAAAACTTGCAACGCTCAATGGGCGTTTTCATGTCGTGCGCAATACTATGCGTGACATCTTGTTGTAAAAAAATAAGATAAAAAAAAAAGATAGGGTTACGAGTCATCTATTTTTCTCAGTTATATAAGCTGTTAGCTTTACTTTTCGTCGCATTAAAAATAAACAAATTCTCTATTTATTTATTTATGTCATCTGAATAAATGTATAATGCGTATAAAAGTTTTTTTAAATGCGCCCTAATAGCAATTATCGATATTACTTATAATTGACTGTAGTGATATCGTTTCTGTATAATCGATATATTTTTGTTTTGGTATCATTGTAATTGTAGCAGTGGCTCTGCACAGTGCAGTTGGTAGCCTGTTTAACCTAATCAGCTGTGTCTTCCCTTGAAAAGGTACGACAGCACGGTGAAAATGTCGCGCAAGGCGATAAAGTCGATTAATTGGGCGGCACTCGCCGAAAAAATTCCACAATCCGAAAAACCTGCATTCGCCACTTTTAAAGCTAAATCCGATCAACATTTGCGACGGTCAGTGAATTTCAATCTTTCGAAATGTGTGTATTACATAATACAGTCAGGATGTTTCTTGTTTTCAATGAGAATTAAATTTCTGCGATAATTAAATACAATTGTTGCAGGGAAGGTTAATTAAAGATTTTCTTTAACTCGTCAATTTGCATACAATAGTTAACACATTGCATATACGTAATCTTTTTTACAATAACTTTGTGATAACCTTATTTTATTACACACTTGTCAACAATGTTACACAGTTATTATTAGCTTTTCGTTTTATAATCAGTAATATTTTTAAAGATAGATGTTGAAGGCTCAAATTTTCTAATTCGGCCAACAATAAAAGGTCATATTGTTCATGCATGTTTCATTTCAGATGAGTATATCAGCAAACATGTCAGTTTTATCTTCGTTATCCATTTAGAATTTGAATAATATATGAACAGATATGTTATATTTTTACTCTGAATGGCCTTTTATTGATATCAACTTGATATAACATTAAAATAAAAAATGATATTTTGATATAACAGATATTATGAATATGAATAATATTGCTTTTACATTATAGAATGGTTGCAAACCCGGAGACACCTCCAAAAATTGATTGGACATATTATAAGAAAAATGTCCCCATAGTTGGATTGGTTGACAAATTTCAGAAGGAATACGACGCATTCAAGGTGCCATATCCTGCGGATAAATATACCTCACTAGTCGAGGCTAAAGAAAAGGAAGTGGTAATGCATTTGTAATTGTAAAATGCTACATACTGTTCAGTTTAATTCATTCTAAATGTGATAAATATGTTACAGCTTGTTGAAATCGAGCAATTTATTAAAAAGTCGAATGAACGTATCGCCGCTGCTACTCAGGAAGCCGAGAGAGTTAAGAATTTATTGCCATTCTCTGATATGACAATGGAAGATTTCCGAGTCAGTTTTCCGGACGAGGCTATAAATACCGACAAACCTACAGTCTGGCCACACACGCCTGATGTGCAACCTGAGAATGAAACAGGACGACCATCACATTAACTCATTTAACCTCAGACGGTTGAAATGTTGAATGTAGTAATAATTTACGTTTAGCGTATAATTCAGAACTCTGCGCTAAATTGAAAAAAATATTGTCTTTTAATTCTGTTATTGTCATATGCATCCGGAAATAGATTTATGTCTACAGAAAGCTATAGTAATCCTTTCACACCACAATTTATACTTGTATAAATATGTAACGGAATAGAGATATCAAAAATATTAATTGCTCGATTATATAAGCCTTATTTCGAATATTTATATGAACAGAGATATTTATTTATCCTAATTTTAAAATGTCTTCGAATTCCTTAAATTACAATCGTTAACATTTTGCAGAATTATATCATCGAATAACAGTTTTGAAACAATATTTGATATTTATAAATTTATTACAAATTATAGTACAAACGTTTCGGCCATTGTATTTGCATTACACTTCCTCAGTGTACATGAACTAAGCTAATATGATAAAAAATTCTTTGATAACATAAAAGATGTGTAAGAACGTGGCCGAAATGTTTGTACTATAATTTGTAATAAATAGTTGAGCACTTAAAACCTGGCTCTGGCTCTATTAGCTCATTTTTTAATGTATTTTGATTATTATTTAATAAAAGAGCCCGTCATAACCTGTATGGTTTTTTAAATTTCAATTTGTTTATAAATTTGTCGAATAAGCTACTAATGTATCACGCATAATTATATATATATAATAATCTTGTGAAAATAAAAATTATAATTCTCCAATTTTAGCAATTCGAACCGTATTTATTTTATATAAACAAAACGTTCAAGTCTCTAGAAAACACATCTTTCTATTGGACATAAATATTTTGGACGCAATGTAAATCCTGCATTAAAAACGACGAAATTTATATGAAATGGTTTTCTTTATATGAATGTTTTACATGGTTATGTGCTGGATAAACCTTTGAAAAATGAATAAGAAAAAAATTTTTATACAGCTCTTTTAGTTATCGTGCAATTCGATTTTTTCGTTCTTGTAGAATACGTGGAATTTAAATTCATGAAAACCGCGGTAATGGTGCGTCACAAAGAATCGGTGTGCGATCACAAAGAAACGGAAGTGATCGCAAGGAGAAAGTTTCGCTTTTCCCGACGTTCGGCTGTAAATGTAAAATTCTCTAGGGGAAGTTCCGCAATGGTGGCGTGCGCGCCGATATAGAGGGGTAAGAATCCAAGCCACAGCAAGCACCGAATGTGTCCTATCATAACCTCTGAAGTCCGCGTTTTTCAAGCTTTTAAGATTTTCTGTGAAGCGCTAAAAAGCGAGTTTGAACCGGCCTTCTTCGGATTCTGCATTGTCTGACTGCTTATCCGCACGAGATTCGCCCGAGATTGGTGAGAAATGATTTATTCTAAAGCTAAGCTTTGCCGAAAGACTCACGAAAGCGTGGAGGAAGAGAGGGAGGCGGAGCAGGGTAACGTTATCAGCAACAGATGCTGTTTGTGCGAAATATGCGTCAACATCGCGTATCAGGCACGCAAAACACAACGGTGTTGTTAAAATTTTTCACAATTCGGTGTATCACATCCCCACGTGCTCGCGCAGGACTAACGATTCTTAGCGAATTTAATTGTGCATACTGGTGACTAAACACATGTAATCTCGCTCAGTCATTGGATAAAAGAAAAATCAAAATTAAAAGCATAACAAGTCGCTCGTTATACCGCAACATTTTCCCAGATGCCTTGACTTTCAAAAGTACTTGTGTAGTTCTGTGGTGAAAATTAGAGTAGCATCAATAAATGGAGCGTTTAAATCTCGATTTTCTGTAATAATTTTTAACATGAGATAATATATTTTATATGTAGTTAAAAATTTTCACTATGACTTTGCAATTTCTTTCATGTAACTATATATATATGAATAACTTTTATATATAGATAAATGCAATAAAATGCAATACAAATTTTTGGTGTATACATAATGTTATTTATCATAGAATATATATAAAATATTTTTTTATCACTTATTATTACAGTAATTGTACGAATTGCAGGATTTTAAAATTATTACTCGTGTGTTTTTATCTGCAATTTTATTATTTTTACTTATATTTCTATCTTTATATTTATATGTATAACATAATAAGTATTTTGTAGGTAACCACAGGTTACATCCATAAAGTGTGGGTCATGCCGACCACTTGCAGAGTAATGTAATGAATAACTGTGGGAACTCTAATATTAGCACGAGGCTACGTGGTTCCAAGTGCGCCGAGACTCAGGACGAGTCTACGAACCAGGGTGGGGAAATAGAGAAGGAAGACGATAGTGAGATAAGTGGTTACAGTGTGAATGATATAAATCCTCCACGTGCCCCCCTGGTCATTCAACGAAATTCCAACTATTCGTCAGATCACGGTTTTACTAGATTTAAATCCAGGTATTTTTTAAATTCTAATTTAATATTGTCAACAATATAGTTACCGGCTAATGAAAATAATTTGCGATAAATTGTTTGCTGTAGACTTTGCAGTGTACCAAGAAATGAATTTCGAATGGCACGTGGCGGCAGTTCCGCAGATCGCGCTAGAGGCGGGACGCGTGGGAGGGCCTTCAAGAAGACCTTCAATGATCGCGAATCAAATTCAGAGTCCAGCTATCACTCTACATCTAGACCCAAGTTTCAAGAATCGTTGAAGAATCATGAGAACGCACAGGGCAAATATTATGACGATAAAAGAATAAATGGTAATATTTATTGATATGTTTTTTTTTACACATGTATTTATAACACTTGAAATTTGCTCTACGAAGAAAGAATCTGCTTATTCATTTCAGAGGACTCGAAAATTTCCAAGCTATTACGGCGATTGTGTCGCGAAGATGATTACGATCACTTCCTGGTGCTTTGCAAACAAGTGCAGGATGGTATCGTCGCACCTGAAAATCAACGATACATACGACGACACTTAGAGAATATCTGTGACAGTTTATTAGATATTTTATACTCCGGTCTTAATCAAGAAGCCAAGCAACAGGTTGCAAAATGTTTAGGTCGAATCGGATACATAGCAGACCAAGATTTTAAAAGGTAGGTCGATTGCGAAAACGTGAATACATTGAAAAATGTATTCTACCTTTACAGATTTATGATTGAGCAGCGCTAAACTTTTATATATTTTCAGATATATGGATTGGATTTTCAATAAATACAAATACTCGGAACATAAAGATGATATAAGATGTCTACTAATCAAATCACTTATCGAGACGCTCAAGATGGACTCTGAGACATCCAAAATGAAAGATTTCTCTGTGGTAAATAAAAATTTGTAAAAGAGTTTATAATAACTTTATTTTTGTTTCCGTTTAATGGCAAAAATTAATCGTCACGTATTTGCACGATAGATGATGATGTCCCAATTACAATCGGTACTGGAAAATGTCGATAGAGCAGACTTACTGATGGCGACTATGGACGCTATATTACTCGTCATAGACTCCTATCCGGAAACATTTACGAACATCTACTTTCATGACACGGTGGACATTCTTGTAGGCTGGCACATTGATTGCACGCAGCAAAAGTCGGTCATCGTTTATGCGAGTCGCTGTTTGCAAAAGTTGCGCTCGTTTTGGGTAGCGGATCTGGAGTTCACGCTGACACTGCTCGGTCATTTCCTGGAGGATATGGAAAGCTACGACGAGGAATTAAATGTACCTAAATCCGGCAGTACTTCGCCAAGCGGCGACGAATCTCCGTCGTCCAGAAAATGCATCTTACGCATCACATCGTTGATATCAGTCTTTAACACAGTGACAAAGAGTATATCTGAGCATTTGAATCCGAACCTTGCACCCAACGTACAGTGGTCTTTTCTAACGGATTGTTTATCGAAGATGCTGAAGACCGTTGTTAAAGCAATCGAATTTGAAGAAGAGAATGATGTCTGGCCCAAAATCATATCTAACAACACGGAGAATCTGATCAAATGTATAAAGAACATGAATTCGTCGCCGAAAGACATGGAAATGCTCTCCAAGCACTTCAGCAAAGACGAGATTACCGAGGAGAGTCTCACCAAGATGATCAAGTCTCTGTCTATAAACAAGAAAAATGATAAAAAGAATTCCAAGGTGGTTCTCGATAAAGCTGTACTGTCCAAAGAGAAGGGACAGGCGTTGGTGAATTTGTTGCGATCGATGGAGCCGAAAGTCAAACACATCGACGACTTGTCGGAGGAGAAGGAAGAATTGATTGTGGTCGCGAACGAATGCGCTTTTCTGCTCCTCGGCCATCTTCAGAGTCGCGTCACCAAGAACCACGAGCTCCTTTATAAATTCATCGACCTTCAATTGCAGAGAGTGAATATCTTCTGGGACGACACGACCATTTCCATGCTGGCCACTATATCGAAGATCATAAAAGAAGTGTCCGCGAATTTGCCGCTGGAGTTGGTGCACACGTTGCTCGGCAAGGACTCAGCGCTGCTGAAATTACGATTTCGGAATTCCATCGCTATACAAAACGCGACTCTGGGAGTGTATCATAGCCTTCTGAGCCTGAAGAATATTCCGCTGTTGCAGGAATCTTATCGTTATGTATTAGCGGACTTGGAGATTGCTTACAGACTCATATTGCCCGATATGGACAGCTTAGTCGCGGACAATCCGTTAAATGACCTGAAATACGTGAATAGCCACACTGAGATAGTGATCACGTTCATACTACGCGCACTTTCGGATATAGGTAAGCCAACAACATCGATGATTCATCCAAAATACATACGTAGCCAACACTTTTATTTCTTTTTTTAGCAAATGCGAGTAATTCGATTATCGGAATGTGGGCCTTGAAGCCCAGTATCTTGGAGCTTCTTGCAGTCAAGTTAAAACCATATGACACCACGTTGTCTACGATCAGTCCGTTTTTGCAATATAATATTCTGTATTTACTGTGCGCACACTGTTCTAGGTAAAATAAAATTTCTTAATTATCTTTTAGCAATTTTATGCAACGACAAAATGTGAGCTTTCGATGTCGACTTGTTTCAGATACAATCACTTTGTTCCAAGTTCAAGTTTGCTAGCGAACATCAATGCTTGTCGAACGATGGACATATTTCCCGGACCTTTGGACGTGTCCACTAAATCGCCAACCAGCGGGCATTTGTCTATTATTCTCAATCTAATAGCGAAAACGTACAACAAGAGCACGCCCATACAAACATTGCTGCTCTTGTCCAATTGGATGCAAGAAATTTGCGTGCAATCGGAGAAGTATATCGGAATCCTGAGCAAAACTCAGGAGTGCCAAAGTATCATCGCGAGCTTGATCACTTGCGGCGCCACAACCAACAACGACATCGCGAGCGCGGTGTGCAATCTCTTGGAGATCTTGATGGCCGCGAAGGATGTGGTGTGGAAGCAGGAGATTTACTCGAGCATCGTCGATCTGGCGACGTTGCATTTGACGTCGTGCGACAAAAAGCTTCGCGACAAATACGGCGTATTACTGATGCTGATGCCGATTAACATTGTCATACCGAAATTGAACAAAGAGTGTTTGTTCTCAGACACCAAGGTAAGCGTGTGTTTTCCGAAGGGCGCGCATGTAACATCAGATATATCTTCGAACTTTCAAACGTTGTTTTGCCGTAGAAAATACGGGAGATCGAGACATATTCAACCGAGTCGTTAATACTCGCTCAAAGATTGCACATGCGAGGTAACAATAACGGTGAATTATTGGCGCAACATTTCAAAACGTATATGGCATTCCTGTTGCAAGAGCGTCACCTCGACGCGTCCGGTTTGTCGGAGATCTTCACTCTGTGCTGGCCAGCTGTGTAAGTATTTTTTCTCAAAATTATTCTTTCAGAAATTTGTCGAGTTGAATATCCTGAATACTCGCGCATTATATTAAAAATATTTAAAAACGTCCGGAATTATTAAAATAGTCTGTCGGTTAGTCGAAGAATTAATTACAAAATTAAAGCAAAAAACTATTGTGAGACGTGAGACATTAACGTACACTCTATAATAACAAAACATTTTTTTTATACAGATCGGAGAATGAGACTACAGCGAGGATGTACAATCTAGCGCTGGCGAACTGTTCATTTTTGTATTTCTGGAGTGGTTTTGAGGCAGCGCAGCACTGCGTGCTCAACAAGTTGCGCACGTCTCTGGGGAAGCCGCAAGAGACGTTCACGTCGATCGAAGGCGCTCTAAAGATTCTGGCGCGTGAAATATCGTACTGCGTGGACGTTATCAAAAAGGACAAACGGGATCTGGATCACATCCTACACGAGCATACACGGGTGAGACTTTTCATTGAGTTCCTGGAGCACCTGGAGAGGGTGATTCACAACGCGGCGGACGGTTGCGCGATGGCGTTGTTACCTTTGTCGAAGCCGGTCAGAACCTTCTTCCACACCAACAAATCGACATGCAAAGAATGGTTGAATCGCATACGGCTGGCTTTATGCGTGGTCTCGCTGCACTCAGGCCTGGCAACGAGCGCGCTGCGAAACGGCCAGCGGCTGCTGGAGGATCTAAGTAACGCCGACAACACGCAGGGCGTCGAGTTCGAAAGAGCGACGCTATGCACGGCGCAAGCTATGGTCGCGCTGGGCGAAGCGGAGGCGTTGCAGGGACTCTACGTGTACACTAAGGAGAACGACAGAAAGTTTCCGTGGCTGAAGGCGGCGATGGAGGAAGCCGCCGGGCACTACGAGTCGGCGGCGGAGGCTTACAAGCAGATTATCGATGAAGACGTACACGCGAAGATGAACGACGACGAAGGCAACAGCGACACTCAAGCACTCGGCTTCTGCATGCAGCGGCTTTCCAACTGTTACAAAGCGGTCAGCGACTGGTCTGGATTGGTGGACTGGAAGTCGCAGGAGAGCGAAATGTTGGCGCAGGAGAGAAATGCTGCCTTGCGAAAGCAAACCGCGGAGACCATCGTGCCGCAGCAGGCGGACTGCCTGAAGAAGTTTGAAGACGGCGAATTGATCTCTCTCGACGAGCTGACGAATTGGAATCTATTGGACGAGGAGAGGAAAACCAATTGGAGCTGCACGAAAACGCTGGTTGAGTGTAGCAATAGTTTGACGAACATCGCGCTGCGTATTCGCGCCAACGAATTCAAGGACTCGTTCAACAACGACATCGAGAGATGCCAGAGAGTCGCGGCCAAGACGATGCAAGACGGCATGCGAAACGTGCCGTCGGAATACCTCAGCGACTCTATTTTGCTTCAGTACTCCGCGACGGGACTGAAGAATCTGCTGAGCGGCAAGAACGGCAAGAACGTCTTCGAGTTGTTGAAAGCCGACAAGCTCAATCACATCAACTCGAACATTTTGACGCAAGTGTTGTGGTGGTCCGAGTATCTGGATGAGACGTGCGAAAGCGGCTCCATGGAAGTGGACAGTCTGCGATTGCACGTGATTAGAACCGCGCGGAAAGAGGGCAACTTCAATTTGGCGAAGCGCGAGATGATCAAGTACTTCAAAATGGAACAGGATCTGATCCAGCTGAAGGATCCGACCGTTTGCACCTTCTCGGATATCACGAACAATATACTGAACGGATCTGTGCAAGTAAAGTGGACGAAGAACAGTATGCGGGCGTTCCGAGAATTCTCCAAACTGCTGTACAACATGGAGAACACGAGCGACGCCCTGAAGATGTGCTGCGTGACCTCGCTGGGCATCTCGCAGGCGATCGTCAACGGCGAGCAGTCCACCGATCTACGAGAGACCGGCACCAAGCTGCTGCTCACTCTGGGAAAGTGGATACAGCAGGACGTAAATGTGAACGAGAATCCGCAGTTGGAGAAGCTGTTGCGATTCGAGGCGGTGCACAACGACGGATTGATGGACAAACTGTTCGGCGATACGATCGACCTGATCCCGACGTCGGACATGATAATCGGCAAGCTGATGCAGCTCGGTGTGAATCAGTGTCCGGACCTGCCGCTCGCTTGGTCCAGCTTCGCCGCTTGGTGCTACAAGTGGGGCCGCAAGATCGTCGACAACTCGAATTCGGGTCAACTGACGGACACCGACCGGTTGAACATACAGTCGCTGCTGCCGATGGACATAGCGGAGGCCGATCTCAACGCCGTGTTCGCGATACTGAGTCAGAACAAGACGCTGCCCGAGGACGAGGGCGACATCGATACGAACGACATAAACACATCTGACATGATCGAGAATCAGCTGCGCAACGTGCCGGCGCTGCGCCACGCGGGAAGCGAACACCTCGGCATGCTGGTCGACATTTGGCGGCAGGCGCAAAAGCGCATCTACTCGTACTACGAGCTCGCAGCAAATGCATATTTCAAGTATCTACAACTGGCGAACAAGGAGATCAGACACGACACGAACGAATACGACACGATTACTGCGACATTGCGATTGCTGCGACTCATAGTGAAGCACGCACTGGAATTGCAGAGTGTGCTCGAAGCCGGTCTCTCGACCACTCCGACCACACCCTGGAAGGCGATCATCCCGCAATTGTTCTCGCGTCTCAGCCATCCGGAGGCGTACGTGAGAACGCAGGTGTCCGAACTGTTGTGCCGCGTGGCGGAAGACATGCCGCATCTTATAACATTCCCGGCGGTGGTGGGCGCAATCACCGGCAGTCAGAGGAAAGTTTACGACAAGATCGTCTACGAGAAGCTCAACGACAATGACGAATCGCAGAACGATTCGGACTTGAATGCCGCCGAAGAGGACGGCGCCGCGTGCGACAGCGACGAGCACGGCAAGATTATGGACTCCTGTTTCTCGCAACTCGTCGATTGCCTTTCCTCTCGCATCCAGAACTCGGTGGTCCAGGTGAAGGTGCTGGTAAAGGAGCTCCGACGTATCACGCTACTGTGGGACGAACTGTGGCTGGCGACACTTTGCCAACATCACGCGGAGTTCACCAAGCGTTTCGAGCAGCTGGAGCACGAGATCCAGCGAGTGCAGGATAACATTTGGCTCGCGCACGACCAGAAAGAGAAGCTGATCGCGGAGAAGCATAGAATTATTCTGAAACCGATCACGTACATACTCGAGAATCTTTTGGCGATGACATCCGTGCCGGCCGAGACGCCGCACGAGAGGAACTTCCAGGAGAAGTTCGGCCCCGCCATCGAGGAGGTGATCAACCGACTGAACAATCCCAAGAATCCGGCGAAGCCGCAGGTGGCCAGCGCGGCGCTGAAGCATCTGGAAACTAAGCTGGCGCAGCGCGTGCACCGTCGCGCCGCTTACTCTCTATCGATGACGGACATCAGTCCCATCCTGGCCAATTTGAAGGACACCTGTATCGCGATGCCGGGCGTCACCGCATTCGGCAACAAGATCGTCACGATCATGTCGGTGGACAATAACGTTCAGATCCTACCGACGAAGACGAAGCCCAAGAAACTGGCGTTCCGCGGCTCCGACGGTAACGTTTACACGTACCTGTTTAAGGGACTGGAGGACCTGCACCTGGACGAGAGAATAATGCAATTCCTCGGCATATCCAATGTTATGATGTCGATGAACAATGAAACGCGAAACTATCGGGCGCGACACTACTCGGTGATCCCGCTGGGTCCCAGATCCGGCCTCATTCAGTGGGTGGACGGCGTGACGCCGCTGTTTATCCTCTACAAACGCTGGCAGCAGCGCGAGAGCGCCATGAGCAGCAAAACCGGCGGCGGCACGACGGCGGTTATGCGACCGTCGGAATTGTTCTACAATAAACTGACGCCGTTGCTGAAGGAGCGCGGGATCAGCCTGGAGAACAGGAAGGAGTGGCCTCTCCAGGTGTTGAAGCAAGTGCTGGCTGAGCTAATGGACGAGACTCCGAAGGATCTGCTGGCTAAGTTAGTCGCAATTATTAAAAACGAATACTTTTGTTTTCTCGCTGTGAATTTTTTTTTTTTTTTGCAATATATCTCGAAGCGTAACCAAAAAAATTGACACAATTTTTCACTACTGTGAATCTTAAAGTTTTTACAGATATTTATTCCGCTTTAAATGTTGCAGAGAAATCTGGTGTAACAGCATCAACGCCGGCAGCTGGTGGCAAGCCACCAAGAATTATTCGTATTCCGTCGCAGTGATGTCCATTATCGGCTACATCATAGGCTTAGGCGATAGACACTTGGACAACGTTCTTGTCGATCTCAATACCGGCGAGGTTGTACACATCGATTACAATGTTTGCTTCGAAAAGGGAAAGACTCTGCGCGTGCCGGAGAAAGTGCCCTTCCGCATGACGCCGAATATCAAGGCAGCTTTGGGAGTAACCGGTGTTGAGGTAGGTTCTATTATAATCAATATATGGCGTGGAAAAGTTTTGCTTTCAAATGAAAAAAGACGGTGCATTCACACAACTTTAATTGCAAATTTTTGCAATCTTTTATTTCGAAAACTTTTCGCTTTATGATAATATTACAATTTCTTTTTATTTATATTTCCATAGGAATTGACAAAAGTAATTTATAATTTATTTCTACAGCTTTTAAGCCAACACAATTGGATTTACAAAATTGTTCGTTCCATTTGTTTCCGCGCGATTAGATTGAGCATTGAACGATCCATGCAAACTGCCATTTCTGTTTATACGTTGGCCATTTTCTATCTGCTGGCTGTTCAGCTTGTGTTGTTTTTCCAAGTACATTTTAAAGCTCCAATTCAGATCGTCGTTGGGCGATTTGAGGTGCAACATTTTCTGAAAGGCTCTGCGGAAATTGGAATTCTTCCACGCGTATATAAACGGGTTCATACCACTGTTAGCAGTGGCCAGTGTAAACGTCAGTTTTAATGACCAATCCAGGTTCACGCCGAATGACACCATGCTAGCCACAACGAAGTAGGGAAGCCAGCAGATTGAAAAACAGCCTAGTATCAGCATCAGCATCATCACCTGTGAAAATCGATATTATCGATCTTTACATTTACTACGAAAAATTTTTTCTTTTATCAAACATTCGTTTGATACGCGCTATTATTTAAGTCTACGTTATATTATAATTTCAGAATTCAAGTTCTATTTATAAAATTATTAATTTTGCGTGGAAAATAAAAATAGAATTTGAAGAATTGGATTACGCACATATGTTATGAATATGTACTCCGATTCTTATCTGGATTAAGCACACACATGGATTAAAATTATAAATAGAATTCTACCGCGAATTCTATGATGCAAATATTTATCGTAAAATGTGACATTGTACCTGCACGTTTTTGTGATCAGCGATGTTTGACACAACAGTAAGATTCATTCGGCGTGCGTGCATTTTCGCTTCTTTCCAAATCTTCCAGTACAGCAACAACATCGCTATCCAACTGAGACAGAACGACGGCATTTGTATACCCATTTTGTAGTATCTAGCAAATAATATGCAATTTATAATTTCGTATTAAATAGGTGAAAGCAGAGCCTCGAAATAAACTAATCGAGAAATAATTCATGATCGCGGTATCGCAATTTGTGTTACGAAATAACGTGAAGCGCTTTTGTTTTAAAGCTACTGCGAATGTCGGATTTAATCCGACATCCGCGTATCGGACTGATTACGGGGAGATAAGGGATCACTGCGGGCATTACTTCGGCAATATTGTTTCGCACATCTGCGTCCACGAAACATCTGCGTCGGAACAATTCCAATATATCGGAATCGCTGATACAGCTGTGATGAGTATCCAAATGACGATTATGACCAGCAATGCGCGCTTCCTCGTTATGTACGCGTTGTAGCTCAATGGATGGACGATCGCGACGTACCGGTCGACGGCGATCGCGATAAGATACAGCATACTTCCGCCGCACGCAAGATTAATGGTAACGATGTACCAAATGCACAGCGGCTTGTTATTGTACAATCCATTGTCCACGTAAATCGCTAGGTTGTACAGCAACGTGACACCCACCAGCAGATCGGACATCGCTAGATTGAGTATAAAATAATTCGAGATGACATTGCGAAGCCTGCGGGCCCACGAGATCGCCAGTATCGTGAGAGTATTTCCCAAAACGATCACAATGAATAGAAAGCAGTCCATAATAATCCAAAACACTTCATCGTCCTCGACTTTAACCGGCTCGTTCTCGTTTGTCTCAACAACGTTGCATGACTTCAGATACATGGTTCTGAAGAAAAAAGTGCTTAAAATATCTTGCGTTAAAATCAATATAAATACTTAAAATTTAACCTCTTCGACAAATTTCAAAAGAATTTTCTCACATTTAATGTTTCATGTTTTTAATTATAACTTGGGAAATGAAAATTTAGATTCAGCTAGATTTTTCTTCTTGCTGTGTACATCGCTGCTCCAATTAATCTCGAAATTTATTCTAATTGATCTCGAAGGAATTTGTCGTTAAAATTAATGTGAAAGTTAATATATTTCAGGACATATTTCTGCAACGATTCATCGCTGAATCTACTTACCAAAGATTGACTGCGAACTCGTGGCATTTCACTTATGGATTCTCTTATGGGGGTGTCTCTCAGTTGTACGCTGTGCAAAACCGTCGCATGAAGCCGTGAGAATACTTAAATAACTGAAAACACGTAATACATATCAGAACGGTCAGCGACTGATACCGCTGAAGTCATAATGCGAGACCTCTTCAGGCCACTTACCTTCCACACACACGCATATGGAGAGAAATGGGTTTTCGATGGTACTTTATGAAACGCTAAAGTACATACCGGATCATGCATCACGATTACGTAAATCTGCAAAACGTGGGAAACGAATTGATTGATTTCTCACTGCAAAAACACTGAAAAACGACGGCTCACTCCGCTCGCGTTTTTCGCCTCCTTCGCGGAAGCGCTCGGCTCTTACGGGAAGCGAATTTATTTTGATGACGAAATTCTGTATATCTTTTGATGTATATCGATGCGGAACAGATACGGGACACTCTGACTTCGCGAGTGGTTTTTACTTATCTGCTCACCCGATGGTTTCCCCGGCGAATGAACCGTCACAACTATCAGTCGCTATCAGCGGCTCGTTCCAATCGAAAAAATCGATGAAAGTCGGGGATGAGAGTGAACGCATAATCATGAGCGGCCAAAAATATGGCTACTGTATTCTTTTGCAGGCTGCAAACGGTATGTAATCGTTATTTATTATATATTTTCAGGGTATATTTAGGTTTGCGTGCGAACAAACTCTGCGAGTAATGCGCAGAGGCCGCGAGACGCTCCTGACCTTATTGGAGGCGTTCGTTTACGATCCTCTGGTAGACTGGCGGGCGGGCGCGGACACCAGTATCGCCAGTTACGGCGCCTGCCAGGCTCGAGCGAGATGCACTGGCATCGGCAAGAAACAAATGGAGCAGGAGCTCACGTGTGCGATGTTCGCCGTAAGAGCAGCGGAGATGCGCACGGAATGGTTGACCAATCGGTGAGGAAATCGGCGAGAAGAAACGTGTTGTTTATTTCATTTCAAAATTAAACCAGGATTCTGCATTTAAAATATTATTTTTTCAACACTAAAAGAAGAAAAGATTTTTCGTTAGTGTGGCAGACCACCTCTGGAAATGTTAGAAAGTCTCGATAGCAAAAGCGGAGTTATTCATATTTATTATTATTAATCAAATTATTAGCGTACGAGCTATTTATAACAATTTATTCTTTCATGTTATCTCACAGGGATGAATTAGCTAAAACCTTCCCGCTGCTGTGTCATCATTTGCTCTGTTGGATCGAAGCGACCGAGGCCTCGCGGCAGTGTCAGGATTTACTGCAGGACCGACACCAGCAGCTCGCGCTGGTGAAAGAGGCGCAGGCGATGGGCCGGAACCACGGCCTGTACACGGTCGTGAAGCGATACAACTCGTTCAAACGCGCGCGAGACGCTCATGACAAAGCGAAGGCCGGCTTGAAGGAGAAAATAGAGGAGTGCGAGAACCAAATTAACATGCACAACGTAAGTTGTCTTTCGAGCGAATTCCCTTCGAATATTCCTTCAATATTCCGACCGTCATTTTAGATCGCGCTGGCCACCGTGCGAGGACCTCAGCTGGGACAGTGGCTAGCGGAATTGGGAAGTCCGACCACTCAGGAGGAGCATGTGGTGTTCGATCTCGTGAAGGAGTTCCTGCAGAATGCTGGACAGAATCAGATTATACAGCAGTGCGAGCTGTCGGAGGACGAACTGACGCAGTTGGCCACCCAGCAGTCCTTAATCATACGCACCCTTCTGGAGATGCTGAGCCAGTATTCCGCCATCTGCAGCCTGTATCCCATCAGCGTTCTTTCGCAGCACCGCACCGTACTCTATCACACATGGGCGAGCAAACTGCTGGCCACCGGCACGGTCGACGCTTGCCGCGAGGTTATGGCGCAATTCGAAGCGAGCGTGGAACCGATTTGTTTGGACAGCCCACTGGTGCAGCAAATAATCGCCTTCTCGTACAGGATGCAGGAGATCCTGAACGAGTCCAACGACAGATTGAAGAAGGCGTACGACAGAATAATGTCAGAAGGTCTACCGGAGGCCGGCAACAGAATTGAGAAGGCGTACATGGAGTCGCGGGCGCAGATCACGAATTTCCTGCGACGGGAGAAGGGCGCGGAAAAGGCGCTCGAGTGCGTCAACATCACCGCGCTGTGCGCCCTGAACAAGCGCTACCTCATGATGGAGGGCGCGGCCAAAGGCGCCGGCGACTGCCTCGTGGAGCTCACGTCACGCGAGGGCGACTGGTATCTCGACGAGATGCGTCTGATGTCGTCGCTGATTGCTGAACTGATCACGCTTATACCGGACAGTCACAAGACGAACAATGATCCCAAGATCCCGCTGATACTCAAGTGTCTGAAGAGCGCCGATCGCATCTACAAGGGCCTGCAGGAGCTCAACTACAACTTTCAGACTATTATACTACCGGAGGCGATGAAGACCGTCATCACAGAGGAGCCGAGTGTCATGCGGATGATCGGCGAGCTCAACGATATCATAATAATGACCGGAATACCGCTCGGCGAAATTCTGGCACAGCTCGAGATGCACCTCCGATTCATCGTGATGGAGATGGAGAGCCCGCACGCGGTGGTGCAGAGTATAGTGGCCAACATGAGATTGCGATTCGACGCGCTGCTGTCGCGACCGGCGGAGGTTCAGGATCTTAATCAGGAGGAGACGCTAACCCCGGGACAGATGTTGCTGATGGGCTTCAACGGGCTGTTCGAGAAACTGCAGATGGAAGGTAACAACCTGGTGGCCACTCTGAGCTCACTAGACGTCCCGCTCAACTGGAAGAAGATCGATCAGATACGCGAGGCCAAGGGGATGTCCGGACCGATCTTCAATAAGGCGGCCCGACAAGTCCTGGAGGATATATTCTTAATCAAACGATTGCACACCATACAGGAGTTCTTCTTGATGTGTCGGAATAACGCAGGCGCGTTCAAGGGCGAAATAACGAATCTATTTGACGACGAGCGACTCAACAAACCCGTTCGTGTCTTCACGGCCGATTACGTTTCGCGACAGTTGCTCGGCGTGACGTCGCAGACACTGGCGATTGCGCTGTGCTTTCTGCTGCAACGGATGGGGCTTAACGTGACCACCGAGATTGAGCAGCGCGACATCGGAGCGGAGAGTAAGGTTTCGCTGGAGGAACTCTGCCGGAAGATGGTGGATCTGTGCCTCAAGAGGGGATTGTTCTCAAACTCGGTTCTGGCGCAAGCAGGTGCGTTGAGTAGTACGTTGGAGAGCGCCTGGCGACGGAAACAAGGCGCTAGATTGGCGCAGCAGAGCGCCGAGGTGGCCAGAGCCAGCGTGCAGAGATTGCAACTTCAGCTGACCGCTCATCACTGGTTGCACGAGGACGTTATGATGATGAGACCCAATCCATTGAATCCACTGAATCCTCTGAGTAAGTGACAATAGATCGACCATTTTACAGACTGTTCCGACGCCTCTGACGTCATAATACATCAGCGAGAAACCTTAACAACCTTATTTAACCTTATTTAAAATTAACATTTAATCCTTCCTAATTAAAACTTGAAATAATTATTTCCTTTTTTTCCAGATCGATCTAATTTGTTACTGGAACTACGCAAAACAGTAGCGGCACTATCAAGCCTGCAGACACGGGTGTGCGAGGCGCGCGAGCAACAGCAGAATCTTGTAGCGAACGTGGTGCAGCGCCTCAAGTGGGCCGCCGGCGCTAATCCGGCACTCAATGAAGTTATGTCGGCGTTTGACAACGCCGTGATATCATCGTGCGATAAGTTGACCAGGCAACACAATTTGGCAGTGATAGTGATAAAGACATGCAATTCCATCTTGCACTACGAAGCACTGCGAACCAGAACGTCAGAGAGCATGGCGCATGACGCGAACCTAGCGAAGTTGATCAAGCACTGGGAGGAGAGCTGCATGCTAACGGTCAACCTGAACATCAGTGTCACTATGACAGAGGAGAACCTCGTACAGCTGCTGCAGTTGGAGAACAATGTGGACGCTGCGTGGCTGAAGCAGGCCGAGAAGATCGTGTCTGACGCGATAGTTGACACGCAGAAGAAGCTGCAGGAGAAACAGGATAATCTCTTTGCAGCGGAGAATTACCTGAGAGAGCGAGTGACTAGTCTTCAAAGCGTGCTTACCGAACACCACCGCTTAATGTCAGACGTTCGAACGTTGCTGAAGTCAATGGCGAAGCAGGAAAACATCATCGGTCTGCAAGACTTCCTGCACGCCTATCGCTCGTTCACGGAGAGCGTCTCGATGGTGGTGAAGGAACTGGAGTCTGAGAATTTTGATTCCGCCCGCGGCCTGGCGATCAAGAACGAGCTGGAGGCGATGGCGATCAAAGTGCCCGGTTTGTACAATCAATTACTCGAGTTTGCAAGCGAGCACAAGCTGAATCCAGCAAAAGACGCGGAGAAAGGACCTGACGGCCTGTCGAAGAAGAAGGGCAAGTTGTTGCGGCAGGACAGCGTATACCTGAGTCCGAGGAAGGGTACGCCATTGGCCAGAGATCCGACCACGGGCAAAGGTAAAGTATCAAGTCTTTGGTTTGTAAACTGTTATATTTTGCTAATGTCTTCTCGAAATCGCTCATCGTTTTTGCCGATAACTGTAATAAACTTTATTAACCGAGCGATAGCGTGACGAATGGTTCAATAACAAAAAAAAAAACAAGAAAAAAGGATTGTAAGAACTAAAACGTGGGGCGCAAAAAATTTATTCATTACTATTCTATTAATTGATAATAAATTTTTTACGTCCCGACATCCGCGCTTTGGTTTTTTTTGATGATTTTTATTAATCGAGCTGAATCAAAAGATTGATGGTTATTATTAATCGCTCTATTATCCTTGCAGCTGTGCAAGAGCGGAATGCCTACGCGCTGAACGTGTGGCGCCGCATACGTATGAAGCTGGAGGGCCGCGATCCGCAGCCGTCGCGCAAGTACACCACGGCCGAACAGGTGGAATACGTAACGCGGGAGGCGCAGAGCACTGACAATCTCGCCCTGCTGTATGAGGGCTGGACACCGTGGGTCTGAACGGACGGCGGTGGGCGCTCGCGCGCTTTGATGGCTCGACACTCGTCTCACACGGTACTCAAGGACGTACCAACGTAATCTACGTTGCCGTAACGTCGCCGTAGGACGTAACTCACCAAGTTCCGCAACGAAACCCCAGGTGGCGGAGTAACGAGCAAAACAAAAAAATGTCATCCGGCAAATAAGTCAATAGAAATGAGTCCTTCTCCGGCGCGACTACTATGCTGATTCTATAGTTGTCTCAAAAGAAAAAAAAATGAGGATGACCCGATCTTAAATTAATGTAGGATAACGTGTCGTTCTTTTTTTTTCTTTTTTTCTTTTTTTTTTTTAGGGAAACGAGATTTGTGCGTATACTTATGATGTACGATGAACGCAGACGAATGTATGGATAAGTAATATCATAGGAAGGCATTTTTGGGGGAAGTATAGAATCGGTTGTTTCCTTACACTAACGGTGTAGTCGTGAGAAGTTCAGATGACGATATATTGACGGGAAGTCCGATGACGATGGATAGCCAACGATCGGGCTGTTACTAACCAGCGTAATGCAGGCTAATATGTTTAATGCCATAGTGTCAGGAAAAAAAAACTGACACTTTTTAATCGAGGCATCAGAATCGGTTTGCGCCGATGTAACGTTATAATTTTAGATATATATACGTGGATACTGTATACAGACAAACATTTGACGATTAATGCGATCAATCAGGGACCGAGACGTCATGCAGACACACCATTGCAACATTATTTTTTAACGCGAAAAAAAAGGGAAAAATTAACAATTTGCGATTTGATGAAAGAACTAAAAACCTTATTATCCAGTTGTGCGTAATTAAATGTCCAAAATCGGCGCATATACATACACATACATACACAGATGCGCATGTACACTTGTCTACTTAGTGTACACGTACACATCTGCGCGACTGTACGTATTTAGAAATTTTATTGATGTCATAGAGAGCCGATTTGTCTCACTGATTAACAGGATGAAATAATTTCTGCAGTGGATACCATGCGTAGTTTCGAAAACGTTTGCCACGTCGTCTCGGTTTGAGTTTTATGTATCGAACGATTCGAGCGAAAGAAGAAATTCGTTAGCTTTATAGCCGACGTCGATATTGGACGATGTGTTCTCGCGGATCCCTGATATTGCATATTTCTCGCCGAGTCGGTTTTTTTTTTTTTTTTTTTTAATACTTAAATAATGCTATCGCGATAAGTACTTTTTCACGCATTGCAGAGATGATAATGAAACTCATTTCGTTCCAATATCTTTATTGCCAACTTTGATAATCGTTGCAATTTCAATTTTATGGAATTTATTGTATATGCAGGCGATATCTTATTGCAAAACTTAAAAATGAAATCGGCCGATGTGATCCCGTACGGAGACATAGTAAAATTGTGTGTACGCAGCTCTACATTTCCATATAATTTTTTATTTACTTTGCAGCGTAGAACTTTTCGACAAACTTTACACAATGACTACGAGATTGGCGTTATGTAAATTCGGATGAAAAACAAGGACAAAATTGATCGCGCCACACGTAACATCGTGTAAATTCAATGTGTAATACAAAAACTGCTATTTTACTTGATGCAATGCTGAAACTAATAAAAGGAACCTCAAGTAAATATGAAAACAAACGAGTACTTTTTATTGTTTTATCTCTTATCTAATCACCTCGTTATATCTAACGAAGATAGCAGTCGTGAATAACTTCGTGAGTATGAAAAATCAAAAGAAACTTTATTTTTAAAAAAGACTTAACTACGATACAAAATGCAATATTGCAAATATTAAGATGTCTCCGACATATTTTTATCCAGCTTAATCAGAATTGGTATCTTTTGGTGGCAGCCAAATATCGGAAGTGCAATCTCCGCCAGGATATCTGCGTAAAAATTAATACATTGCAATATGCGACAATATATAATACACTTTGTTTCTAAATAAAAAAAAGGAAATTTTCGAAATTATAATCCGCGAGATCCGACTTCATTGAAATTAGAGACTGCGGTCGAATTAAGAAAACAAGAACAAAGAAAACATTATGCTTTTATAACTTTACAATATGAATTGTAATCTCTTTTGATTAATCTATATTTTTTTTATAGAACTGGAACGGGAATAAACGAGAATTTTTTATCGACTGGACGGCAATAAAAATTATCTCTTACCGCATCTCGTGCGCCAGCAGAATATCGTTCTTATCGGTGCCGAAATCAACGAGGAATTGCTGGTCGAGCTTCATGCCGCCATTCTCGACGTCAATATCGAGCTTCACCATTGTCGATCCATATCTGACCGATTAAAAAATGAGCGGAATATCATTTAAATTATTCAAGCGGATTGTAAAGATTTTACATCAGAGAAAAAAAAGAGGTAAGAACAGAAGCTCTTGCGAAAGGAGGGAAGAAAGAATCACTCACTTGACAAGATCGGGATAGAATTGCCTGTCCCACGGCTTGAAGATCGACGTAGTCACGTATAAACGACGCCCGTCCAAACTTAATTGCAGCATTTGCGGCGCGCCGTACAACCTACGTCCTTTTACGTAAACAGGATCGGGCTGACCGCTCTTCTCCTCGTTCTCTGTCACGCGTACCTTTGAATCGCTCAGTATCGATCCGCCTAGAAAAACTTGACCAGTCAATCGCGGTTTCCTCGTATCCGTGATGTCGTACTGCCGAACGTCACCGTGCAGCCAGTTAGACAGATACAAATACTTGTCGTCGAGACTCAGCACGATATCGGTGATCATGCCTGGAAAGAGCAAAGGAAGAACTTTTTTTATTCTTTCTAACTATGAAATATCGTCGCGCTGTATCGCAAAAGGATAAAAGTCTGAAACATGCTTTAAGGTCTTATTGCAAATTGCTACTACACGTCGAAATAAAACAGATCTTTCTTTTCGATTCATAGATTGGCTACAATAAATGGCTTTATATCTGGATCAGTCGTTCCATTTTTTCGTTGGAAATGTAGGACGTGTGTAGATTGAATTACTAGATGGGTTTGCACTAATATAAGTTATAGAATATAAAAAATCTATACCATCGAATGAGAGTGACGATGTGCAAGAAAATCCATTTATTTCGACTTGCAAGAAAAAAAATCATATAATTTCTCGCTACTTTCTAACTTTTCACAATTCTTGATGTAATACCTGACATCAAAGGCGTGACCCATCCTTCGACCTTCTTCGGCGACACCTGGATCACCTTCTCAGCCTTCCACGTGTCATCCTCTGCCTTGTAAAATCGGTAAATATTAGACGATACCGCACAGCCTACGAATCCTTCGGCTGCCAAAGGATCGTGGAGGAATCTGATCTCAAGGGGCGCGATTCCATCCTCTCCCAGATTGATGGTCTGCTTTAACTTTCGTTCGTTCCACGAGTACACGTTTAAGCTTCTGCCGTAAACCTCTGCGAAGTACAAAAACGTGATTGAACACGAAAGAGACCACAGTACACGAAAAAGGTGCTATAAAAATAGTAATCCTATTATTTTTTACCACCTACATATTTTTCTGTGCTGTTGCTTTAGAAAGCATGCGAAAGGCACTTTTGTATTTCATAATAAAATTCTTTCATCTTTCGATAGAGATTTTTATCGCAGTTACGCGCAATTGCACTTACTGGTATCGTAAACGTCCTTCGGATGGAATCCTTTCTTAAAGACTCTAGGCGCGCCCCATTCGGATGCGATGAGCGTATCGTGATACGGCTGATACCAAAAATCATATCCAAAAGCCGCTTTATCCTGACCCTTGGTCCACGTGCCCTTCGCCTCCAGACTCTCCGCATCAATCAGGAAGAATTCACCCAATCCATTGCCATCGAGATTTCCCATAGTTGAGATTAATATCTCGCCGGTTGGTAAGCAATGCGTGGTATGCGGTGTAGATATTCCGTACTTGTGCATCTCTTCCGGTTCCAGGACCTTGCGATACAAAACTATTAGGTTGATGCGCAAAAGATTTATTTTTTTTAATGGTAAAATTTACTCAAATAGCATACACGTACGTTCATAAATTTTCAATAAAATAATTGTATCTAATTTTGTCTAAAAATTATGGAACGCTCCATACTTCGGAATGATAGTATCGTATATGTAAAAAAATTTCTCAACGGAGAACTTGGAGTTCCGTATATCTGTGTACCTTCTTAATCTTCGGCGCTCTTTCGTCGCTCGTATCAACGAGATACACTCGGTCTGACATAAGACAGGGTAGCACGAGGGTATCGCGTTTGCCCGATGACTCGAAGCAGCTGCTGCAGATATTCCAGCCGGAATGATGTAACTCATCACCGGCTTCCCGCATTCTCAATTTGTGTATTATCTACAAGGAAAACGACATTGCGAACCGGTTTGCACTCCAATTATTTTCACGAAAACAATATATATAGGTTTTTGCAGGCACCTGACAGTACGTGGGGCTCATCGGATCCACGTCCACCGTGCAGAGGACATCGGGCTTCTCAGGATCCGTGTGTATGCCGACGACGTACAGAAGCGTCTCGCGCGGTCCCTGACACATCGCCGCCCATGGGCTCGAGTAACCCGGTCCGTGAGTAACGGATGATAATCTACAAGACAATTGGAAATAAAGGAAACTCTTCGACACGTTTGTTAAAATAGCCAGTGAGAATATGCGCGTAATCACACAGATGTTGAGAAGTTCTTAAAGTTTCAAATTCTTGCCCTGCAAAATCATAATTTAATATTACTCGACACACATCTGTTAGTTCAATTCTATCTACATTCTCTTGAAAATTTAAAGCAGCGATGATACGTCATTTCAGTTCTCCAAGATTGTTTGACAAGTGTGATAGATCACTGCTGCAAGATTTATAAGCGAGAATATGTTGGGAAAAGTTTAAAATTAAACTGAATTGATGTGTCGTGTGACAATTCGATAAATTCCATATTAAGACTTTGTAGGAAGTTTCTAATTGATTTATAATTCTGTACACTCGCTGACTTCCTTATGTAATATACATGCAAAAGCGTTTCCTTCATTTTGATTTACCTTGGATATTGACAAACACGTAACGGTTGGCTGCTGTGCTCCAATTGACGCAAACACGCATTTTTCGACGCGTTATCAGAAGGTATGGAATCTGTAAATGCGAAGTGTGATTTGGTATTAGTTTGATGTTTCATTGTGAAAATAATATTGCACAATAACGCAATAATGCAATAGCTTGAACAGGTACCTTTACTTTCTGCCATCCTTCGTGCCGTTGTGCCTGCGTAGGCTGATGCTAACTGTAGAGTGACGACTAATGAGTAGCAAACACACGATAGTAATTGAGAGAGAGGGAACTGTGTTCTACACTATGCTGGCTGGCTTCAACGATACGGCTGCTGATGTGCAAAGTGTGCACTGGAATTAAAAGACGAATTCCTCTCTGCTGATTAATAAAGGAGTCACCTTTTGACATCGAAAGTTCTGTCAATTGATAACGGTTATTATTAAAAAGCAAAGATAGCAAGTAAAAAGATAGCAAGTTATGAAAAAGCAGATATCGCTGGAAAAAATATGCACTACTTGCACTACATTGTAAAATATTTATGATAATAATAGAATATCTCGTCATCGCTAGATTGATAATAGACGTGTTTGTTTATTAGAAAAGATATAAAAGATAGATCACTGCTGTGAGATTTAAAGACGAATAACGATTTTCATTTTATTGGCATCTAAGAAAAATTATTATGCATTACTCTTTAAAGAATTATATTTGAAAATTAATTTTATTAAATAATCGTATTATATTAATTTCATATTTTCAAATATTTGTACAGCAAAGCATACATATAATATGCAGAGTCATACGACTGTTACGTAACTTTATTGCGGCTGATGATAATTATAAAACAAATATCAATTCGAAATTTTGCAATAAATAATAATTGCTCTGATAAAAGAAATCTGAAATCAAATATACGGATTTAGATTTTTTCCTTATCTTACAGAGCAGTTATTATTCATCGTACCGAACAGCTTTCGGCTCAATCATTATGCAATTACGCTCTAAATTGCAGCACATTTAAATCTGCGATTAATACAATAATAAAAATGCATTTTAAATCGTATTCATTTAACTGAATAAAAATTACAAAGAATTGATTCAGAGTTAAGGCGATTAGAGATGATCGCCGTTGAAATCGATTCGAGCTGGACACCGCGCATTCTGCATTCGCCTTCGCAAATAATAAATAATCGATGGATTAGCAGCGTTTGGCAAATATAGGATATATGTGGATGAGGATACGAGAAAGATACAAGATACACATAAACAATTTATTCGCATTCTTTCTCCAAAGTGAGTTATAAAAATAATTACGCTTATAAGATCTCTGCGAGATTGTTCCTTTTACGTGTGTGTATATATATATACACACATGTGCATCAAGTAAAAATACATTGCTCGTAGTACAAGTGATTCGAGAGTGACACATCAAAAAACCGACGCGTTTGGTCTTTGATTACACGCAAAAAAATACATAAAGCTATATATTATATTCACGTATCACACTAAATCGCTGTGTGCTAAATTGCGTGTATCAATCTCTTAAATCGCGTCAACGAATATACAGAGCGTTCCAGATTCCATTTTATTCTTAATAAATAGGTTTATTTCTTAACGAGATTTCACTTTCAAAGTTTATTTTACTGGACTTTTTTAAGAAAGTTCTTGAAAAAGACGAAGACGTCGATTTCTTCGCAAATCTGGAACAGCCTGTATATTTTATAAGGGACATACACATACATCCATCAACGGATATCGCTAACATTCGCCGCAATGATCACGCTAATCTTAGAATATTGCGGTAACATTTGGTGACGAAAACTCATGCACTTAATATACAGAGCAATATTCGCGCAAACTCGATAAAAGTTTGGCGATCTCGCGAATAACTCGCGCTCTCACCGATATATAATAACATGCATCTATGATAACAATGATTGTTCGCGCGCACAATTATTCGACCGCAGGCGCGTTCTATATATTCTGATATATTTCGATATTTCGATAAACGATTAAAATTACAACACGTTTGTAATCTTTCTGTTCATTGCAGAATTATTAATTGGCCCCCACCTTGAACATCTAGTTGTTTCTTATATGATTGATTCGTTATATCTTCTAATCGCTGAAAATAGACAGGTCTATTATCTATTAACAAAGATATGTGCCACCATGCTGCAGACATGTGCATTTCCGCAGCGGAAATTCGATTTTTCCACGAACGGATGATTGTCTTACGAAGTACGGAATTGATTCGTTATTCCTATCCATCAGATCAATGCGAACAACTGTATCAATCAATTACCTGCACATTAATAGCGAATTAATAATCAATTGATTTTCTTTCATGACAAGAGGAATTACAGTGAATATTTCAAAATAGAGAACTACGAAGATTTTAAATTTGAAACTGTGAATGTGTTATTTTTATCTTATCTTGGAATTTAAATATTTAAGTTAAACAAAAAGGTTTGATATAGAATCAACAGCGCTTAAAAGCTAATAAGAAAACACTATTCAACGCTTGAAATAAAAATATTAAACTTTGACGACTTTTTTATCCAGTTTATTCAGTTGGATTTGGCGACACTTTAAAGTGTGGCTGAAGAAAAACTGAATATTTTTAACTTTTTATCAAATTTAAATTAACGTTCATTGAGAGTTTCAATTCTGTCAAATAAATAATTTAAGAAAAGAATTATTTACAGGGAACAAAAGTGTGCCAGAAAAACACTGCTGATCTAATATTAAAAGATTTAAAAATTTTAAGGGAATTTAAAACATTTTTTAATTACGCGCTATACGCTTTCCAATAATCAGGAATGTTTACCAATTAGAAATTAATTAAATTCAACGAGATCGATATAGTTACGCGCATCGATCTGATATTTCCCGATTTAACTTTGCGATTTCGCATTGCGATAAAAAGCCTCTTTTTGATCCCGCTTATCGATCATCGCGAATCACGGCGAATCGTCGTCGTCGTCGTCGCCGCCGTCGTCTCCCCGTCAATCGTTTCCTCTGTTTTCTCTTCTCGCTAAGCATCGCGCACACGAGAAGATTCTCCCGATGAATGGCGATCAGTTGCCGTAAACGATTCCGCGCGACCTCCGTCTGCGCGGTGATATCGTCAAGACCGCCGTCCAGCCGATCCAGGCCGCCGCTAATGTTGGCGATGACGTCGAGCAGCAGACCGTCCCGTCTGCGCGTCTCCAGCGTATGCCGCCTGCCGAGCAGGAGGCCTGTCAGGCCGACGACGATCATCAGCACCGTTAGACCCAGCAGCAGACCTCGCTGCATCGACAGCGATGTCATTTCCCGGGAATACTCGAATGCGCCTCTCGCACTCTCATCGCATCGCGCTTAATGCCCCAAGTGCCTGACCTCTTCCTCTCCGACGAGGAATACAAAGACGATGGTCTAACGGTCCCTGTCGATCGCAGAGACAGAATTGCCGGACATGACAGCTACCTCGGCGCGCGATTTATTCCAAGAATAATCTCGCGAAGAAGAAGAAGCCGCGAGTTAGCTCGGCGAAAATGCGATGACGGCGGAAGCTCGGAGTTTGCGACGAATAAAGTTTCCGGCGTTCAAAAGCATTTTCGCGCAAGAATAATGCTTGTCGTTTTCAGGATCACAATCTTCTTCTTGCATCGGGAAGACAAACGCTTCATCACTCCGTCGTCCGGCGGAGATTGTTTCATTTCCGCGCTTTCAGGCAGAAAAAGGGGATAGGCGGTCTTCTTTCTGAATCTTCATTAAAAAAAGAAAAAAAAAATCAATTGTCAACGGAGGCACGCGGACGATACGACGACGTGCGACGGGTAGACAATAACCAGCCGGTTATAACACTGGTGCTAATTTTTCCCTCGCATCCGCGGCAAGTCGAAAACTCGCAAAGTTCTTTCTTGTTTTTTCTCTCTCTCTCTCTCTCTTTCCAGACGCTCTTCGCGTTTCCACTCTTTTTCCCCGACGCGGGCGCTTACGTTTTTATCTATTATTAAAAGCGAGGCGCGGCTGTGCCTTAGCATGCCAACCCGTTCCACCGCTGCCGCGACCGGCGCCGGATCAAGCGACGACCAAGATCCCCCGGGACTCCGCCGGGCAGATTCGCCCTCCACCACGCTGGATCGATCCGGACAACAGCGATTGGCGAGATCCTCGCGCTCCATCGATCTCCCGCGAACGATTATCCATAATGCAGCAATCGAATGCGCGCGAGTCTTCAGGTACTGGACAGGTATAAGTGGTTTATAAGGCGTTCGATGCGATCATGCTCCAGCGAGGGAAGAAACCGAAACCCCAAGTGGATTGCGATCCGCCGTCCCGTGGTTCCACGCTCCAACATCGCTCGGCTGCAAGCGTCAATCTTAAACTTGTTGTGTGAGAAAAGCAAAGTAATCAATTTCCCTTCAAACTGCGACGGTCGCTCTTGATAATTCGAGATTCTCATTAAGATTCACAAACGACTAGACGCACCGCAGGTCATAGAACATTTAAGAGCACTTCTCTGTTACTCCGGTTTTGTCAAAATCTTCGACATCGCGCGCGGTGGGAATTCCATCCTCTAGTTTGACGGACGTAAACGAATCCATCAACGCGTCGATCGCGCGCTAACACACGTTCTTCGAGCGGCTGTCACTCGGCGAGGTGTCACATGATGAGCCGTCATCCGCGCGTCATTGTGGAAAGCCCACGATCGAGGTATCGCCGCGAGGATGCCGTGCGGCGCATCGCCGCTCGTACTTGTTGAACGTCGTGAGATCAAATCGAGGACGCTCGACGGTACTCGCTCCACGTGTAGGCGCGGCCGTTTCATCCCCGAGGACGCGCGGCCATCCCCGAGCGAGCCCGAGGAGCATCTTCAGGGATGTAACTTTCCACTTTCCACCCGGCGTCCACAGATCTAATCTTGGCAAGATCTCTCCACGCGTATGTATGCGTATATTTATAAATATCCTGCGACGTGTATTCTTCTTGATGTTGCAATTCAATTACAATTTTTCTCTCTCTCTCTCTCTCTCTCTCTCTCTATCTCTACGTATTTATTAATTAGTATTGTCTAC